AGCAGCTAAACAATGGAAGAAAGATAGCCTCTTTAACAAACACTGCTAGAAAAACTGGCTTTCCACACGATGAAAGCTAAAACTAGACTCATGTCTGTCACCATGCACAAAACTACAGACAGAATAGATCAAAAACTTAAATATTATATTTAAAGTGAATTAATAAATATTCCAGAGGAGAAAGTAATTAGAATTTTTAAGGACATAGGAGTAGGTAGAGTTCATGAACAAAAATTAAACTGCATGCGAAATTCTTCAAAGAATCAACAACTGGGATCTCATCTTTTTAAAGTTTCTCCACATCCACAGAAATCAACAACAGAGTAAAAAGAAAACCCACAAATTGAAAAAAAATTATGGCAGACTGTCCCTCAGACAAAAGACTCCTATTTACAGCATAGGAAGAATTCTTAAAACTTAGGCCTCCCTAATTCAAAGACCCAAAACAAAAAAGGGCCTCTGAAATGAATATACACTTTACAAATGAGGAGATACAAATAGCAAATAAATACATGAAAAACATGTTCAACATCATTGGTCATTCAAGATATGCAAGTTAAAATAATATCATCTTATATCAGAACAAATGGCTATCATCAAGATGTCAAACAAGAAAAAGTGCTGTAGAGGCCAAAGGGAAAAAGAAACCCTTCTCCATTGTTGATGTGAGTGCAGGCTGGTACAGCCATTATGGAAATCAGAATGGAGATCCCTCAAAAAGACTATAAACAGGCAAATCACTACGAGTCCGATTTGGTAGTGAGACCCTGAACACATTGTAGTACCTTCCCTAAAATACAAAATAAACAAACAAATATACAAACAAACACTTAGGTCCAATCATTAGTATAACAATAAATAAATAAATGTATTTAGATAAATAAATTGCATTTATTTATTTAAAACTAACACCTCACAACTTACTTCAATGTGCAAGAAATGCAAGGCCAAATAGAACCCAAAATTAGTGAACAGAAAGAAATAAAGATGAGCAAAGCAACTGAAATGCAGAGTATACATGAAAGAAATACTTGAACTTCTAAGAAGATAAACAAAATTTTTAAACCCCCTGAGCTAGACAACTCAAGAAAAAGAGAAAGAGGGCACAGATAAATAGAAGCAGAGGTGAAAACAGAGACATTACAATTGACATGCCATTCCTCCAGAGTGTCAAGATCATGAAAAATAAGAAAAACCGGAAATGTACAGAACTGGAGAACCCCAAGGATAACTAATGAATGTAGGATTGTGGAGCAGAAAGAAAAGTGACCTTGGCAGAAAACTGGTGAGATCCAAATGAACTCTACTGTTCAGTTCAAAAAACAAACAATTGACATACTGCTAAAACAAGGGATCGTTAAGAACTATTATGAACTATATGACAACAAATTGCAAAGACTTAAGAGAAATAGATAAACTTATAGAAACTCATAACCTACCATATTGAACTGACAAATAATGACTAAAGAAACTGAATTAGTAATAAAAGTCATGCAATAAAAGCAAGTCCAAGACTGAATGGCTTCACTCCTAAATGTTACCACATCTTCATGTAACAAAACCCAATTCTTCTCAAAATATTCAAAAATAATAACAAGAACATTTGCATTTCATTCTACAGTATGACCATTATCCTGATACCAAACCTGGACAAGGACACAAGAAACAACAACAATGTTCCTGATGAACATATATGCAAAAAAATTCTCAAGAAAATACTAGCAAGTCAAATCTAATAGTACATTTTAAAAGATTTTACACCAGGAATAAAAGATATTTATGTTAAGAGTGCAAATATGGCTCCACATACACACCAAAGGAAAGAATCAGCATGGTAGAGAGATATAGTAAAGAATGGAATAGAATATTTCCAAACTATTCATCCAGCAATGGGTAAATATCACAAGAGAGAAAGAACTCAACTTAGCAGCAGTAAACCAATCCAAGTTTGTGGCAACAGTTCAATGGGGCAAATGATCCCGAGAGCCATTTCCCAAAACAATACAAATAAATGACCAACAAGTATATGAAAAAATGTTCAACTTCATTTGTCACTGGGGAAGTCAAATCAAAACATGATGATATATCATCTCACTCCCTTTAGAATGACTACAACCAAAAGACAACAAATAAAAAATGCTGACAAGAATGTGAAAAAGGGAAATTTTTTATTTTTTTTAAGGAGAATAAATTATACATTAGTGTGGCTATTATGGAAAATGGGATTTTGGACCTTCCAAAAACTAGAAACAGAACTATCATATGACTCAACAGTTCCATTACTGAGTGTATTTCCAAAAGAAATCAAGCATGATGAAGACAAGTCTATATTCACATGTTCATTTCAGCACTACTCACAATAACAAAGATTTTAAGTCAGTCTAGGTGTACATTGACAGAGGTATGGATAAACAAAAATGTAGTATATGAAAAAGAAAAAAATGTGGTGTATATAGACAATGTAATATATATTCTTGACACTAAACAGAACTGAAGTTCTGTCACTTCCAGCAACATGGGTGGAACTGAAAATGTTAATGATTTACTTTTGATAATCATTTACTATACAGTCCACAAATAAACACATGCATTAAACATCAATCTGTTCTTGAAAACATGTAAAGTGACTGATAACAATAACCAAGATATGAAATTAGCCTTGAGGACCATCAGTGGAAAATATTATACAGAGTCCACCAAAAATGTATACATAATTCAGAGAAAGAAAAATAATATCATTTTTCAACAGATAGTATTACCTCATATGCAGGACCCTAGAGGATGTATTATATCACAGAAAACCCACTAGGCTGCCAGCCCTTTGAGAAGTTCAAAATGTTTCTGCAGCAATCTCAGTGACCGAGGTTACCCAAGTAGCAAGATGCTAACTAATGTGTAGGAGCTAATGGACATCACTTTAGCATCTTTTGTAAATGCAGAGGTCAAAGGTAACTTGTATAAACCTCATGATGTCTCAATAAATTTAATATT